AGGTTCAAACTTATAAAAAAAAAAAATAGGGTTAATATTAAAAATTTTATATTATCAATTCTTTGAAAAATACTTTCTTTCTAAACTCAAATTAAAAGCGTATCTAAAAAAAAGGCTAAATCATTAAAAAATTAGAAAATTATATTTACAGTTATATAAAAATATTTTTTAAGGTGAAGGACAAATTAATTTAGCACCTCCAAACTTGTTCTAGTTGTGTCTATGACAGCAAATTAATACTCACTCCTATACGAAATCATTGTATATTATCTCATTCCATTATATCATATACATTACATAGATTTGAAGGAGGTTGAGATGTCATAATACTTACTTGCAATTCAATATTTTTGGTTGACTATTTTTCATTATGTTATTACTCAAATAAAAATAAATAATAATAGATCACTGGATTGCAAATCATTCTGTAAGTAAAATTATATATTTTGCCCCTCCTAAGAATTTTTTATGCTTTAAAGACGACCCTATGTATATTTTTACGATAAAAAACTTACAACTCGATCAAATTCCTATCACATTTATGAAATTGTTTATGTCTTTTGCCATAAAATATCTATTTTTTTCTTTTTAGTGTTTGTTAAATATTAAATTTTAATAAATCTTAGATTTATCGAAATGTTTATAGTACAAATAAATATCATTAAATATAAGAAAATTCGTTTTAAAACATTATTTTATGATAATAGATAACTTTAAAAAATTATATTATATCCATACAATATGTTTTATTTTATTTATATTAAGCATTAAGTATTTCTGAACAATTTTTACCGTAAATTATTTTTGTACAATTGTGTAAGAATAGCCTTGAATATATTACCAAACTTCACGCGATTTAACAATAAATGTGTCTTAAGTAAAAATTAAAATGTCAAGAAAAATTTACTATGCGACGCCTTAATTATCATTTTTTGTGATTTGACGATAGTACCATAAGTACCATTGTTCGTGTAACGCATCTAATTTTAATCACAGATTTCACATTATTCATTTACAATTTTTTTTACCAATGGCGATCATAAGTGATAAATCAAATGGGTCCACTGGACCACTCAAAATGTTATTTTACTTAGTGTTAGTATCATTATGACTCCTCTAGCTAGAAATTGACTAGTTTTTTATTATCTAACAGATAATAGTTATAGAACACATAAAATCAGCAGATTATACACAGGCCAAAACAGAGATTCAGATAAGTACAACAAAAGCTTGCCCTAATCGGACTATTTTCTCTATTAAGTATCAATTCTAACAGATACAATTAAATTTAGTTAGACCACTCAGAATTAATAAAAGACCTTTTGCTGTTTCTGAATACACGTCTTTAATATTAAGTCAAAAAAAGTAGATAAAGTGAAGGGGCTAAGTGTGTACACACACCTATATATATATATATATACATTACTTAAATCGTAATAAAAAGATTTTTTTACATTTCCTCTATTCATTATCATGTGTAACATAAAAAATATTAAGAATACCTAAATTTATAAAAAAAAATAATTTAAATTAAAATTCTACTGCCAAGCGGTTATTAAGGTAAAAAAAAAAAATATATAGGGTCACAATTGTCTCAATATTACGATTATTCAATACAAGGGCAAGTGCGAATCTGAAATTAAATAATACCATTATATATACTTTTTACTATTGAAGTAAGTTGGCTATTCCACATAATGGTATAATTTATTTGACACAAATATAAAACAAATTAGATAATAAATTTGAAAGTTGTGGACTTTTTAACGTCAATATCAATTATTCAAGTTTCAGGTTTATCTGATTATTGACATTCTTTGTTTTTTAGGCCATTAGACAAAAATAAACAATGAATATTTGTTAAACCTCCCAAAATAGACGCACTTTTAATAAAATTTTTGTAGGAGCTTATTCAGAACAGAATCCAGAAAATATATTTAGTGGGGGTAATCACATGTCATATGATTGAATGACTTTTACTTGCTCATAAATATTGCGAAAAAGGGTCGTAATTTAATTTTGTCAATTAAGTAATATAATAATGCACATAAAAACATCTGACTTTAAATATAAAATATTTATAAATTTGGTTCTAAGATTTTTAGACATGTAGTTTTTTTATTTTACTTATATTAAAACGAGTTAAAAGTAGCTGAAATTTTAATTTTTAATGAGTCATAAACAGTTATTTATATTATATCTTAAAAAAAAAAATTTTTTTTTAATATATCAGAAAATGTCTTATTTTTCATTTTTTTCCTCGCCTTCGGAATATCTATATACTCCATCTTATATGTTCATTCCTTGTACTATATTTCTATCCCTTCACTAATCCATCTAAGCATTCTCATCTCTGCTTTGTTCTCTTGTCAATCGCCCATCATTCTTCACCAATGGTGAATCACCATACATCAAAACTGATCTCACTATAATATTATACAATTTACCTTTCTGCCTCATTGAAATTCTTTTATTGCATAACACACCAGACGCTTCTCTTCATTTCAGTCACTAGCACTTAATCCAGTTACTTCGTCAATAACACCATTATTTTGCATAATTGATCATAAATACTTAAAACTTTCCACCTCTCCTATCATGTTCTCGTTTATTGTCATTGATAGTCTCATTTCTACTCCGTATTCTTTGTAAAACTCGTACTTTATCGTACTAATCAGAAAATCTATAGAAAAATTAAATTTAAAAAAATGACATAATTTTATAATAAAATTATCATAAAAACGATATCCTGATGACAAACAATATATTTTATTTCCAGCGGTCGATAATTTAAGTAATAAATAGTAATAAAAATCTATTTTTATGTTTTGTCGCATATATGTAGAGTAATCTGATCGTTTTTCATTATAATCGTAACAGATATAAAGGAATAATATCGTCGTAAATTGCTTACTAAATATGACACCCACCTTGACCACTCTAAATCTACCATTGAGATTATTATATCTATTATTAAATTATAATACCCCCTTAATTTTTATTATTTAATAATATACATGATAATTTTGATATTGTGAACTACTTGATTAATAAAAAAATAAAAACAATATTGTGAATTTTAGTTTTTCTTAGTGATATGGGTTTCTCAATTTAATAAATTTAGTGAGAGCGTGGCATAGTTGGATCCAGTATACAATTAATCTGACAATGATTAAAATCACTATCATAAAAAACGCTTCAATGCAAATCTGTCGATAGTGATCAATTTAAAAAATTTGGCGGATTATTCCAAAAGCAACATTACCTCCTATTTCCTTATTTATATCCTGATTACAAGTTTTATGATTTATAAGAGTAATATATGAATATATATTTAATAGCAATTAAATATAGTATGAAATTGATATTTAAAAATTTAGTATTGTAATTTTTACGGAGAAATTATAGAATATTATTACTTTTATGGCAAACGTATATAAAAGTTGAAGGTCTTGGTGTAATATTAAAAAAAAAAAATTGTTTGTTATTTATATATAAATTTATTGGTCTACAAGGAATTTTCATCAGAGACCAAAATATAATTTTCTAAATCCTTTTTTACGCATATTTCAAATTTATAATTTAACTTTCGCATATGGACTAAATAATAACAAAATCCATCTGATTAATATAACAAATATTTATGTTAGATTTATGTTACGTATGAATAATCAATAAATATATTTTAATTTGAAAAAGTTGTACTATCTAAACGGAAATGGTCCGATCTAAAAAAAAGTATATCGAATGAAAGAAGTATATAAAATAGTATCATAAAAAAATTGAAATGATTTATTTATTCATTTTTCAAAAAGTTATAGAATTATAAAGTTAAAAATGTATAAAAGAAATTTCTTTACAAAAATCATATTTTTTTTATTAACTTTGATGTCTATTTCACCATTAAAACAAAATAACTGTATTGTTGAATAAAATCGGTTCGGTTAGAACTGAAAAAAAGTGATAAGACAAAAAAAAAAAAAAAAATTAAAAAAAAAAAAAA